TGTATATGTGTATATCTATGCATGTGACACTTTCAGGCACACAAGTCAATTAAAAGAAAAGCAGTGCAGCAGCAAAGATGAACAGTCAGCTGATAGATGAGCTGCTACTTCTCACTTTTACAGACAGCAGAGATGCTAAGGTCAAAATTGCAAGTCCTTAGCCTTATGTGATACTAGAAAGCACATACATAGGGTCTCCAGCTGCTGGCGCATGCCAGCTCAGACCCTAGATGCTGAGGAATATTGCCAGATTTTTTAAAAACCATTTGCAAAGGCATCGCCTCATTCTTTGGCTAAAGAGGTAGAATCCAGTTGTCTAGGATTGTTTGTGGCCACTTTCCTTCATTCAGACCGAACTTGTGCAAAGGCACCTCTGACAGTGCGTCCATCTGTTACAAAAGGTCCATCCTGTGCATCGAGCAAGGCAGGGTTCAAACTGAGCAAAATGCTGAGCCACTGTTCAATTAAAGACCATACCAGCCTGCATACCTGAGAAGTGGCTTCTCCATCATGAGCACTGGCGTGGAGGGCACCTAAAAGGGAGCAGGAGGATCTGAAGAGGTGGGACGGAGGGTGCCCAGTTTAGCAGTGTGTGCTGGTACCGCCAGTGTGCTCACCTGCTGGTTGGGAATTTTTGTTATGAAGACAGCAAAAGACACCCCTTCCTGCAGGGGTGATCCCTTCTAATTTTAGATTCCACTTCTGCGGGGTTACTGGTTTGCTCTGCAATCGCGTATTCCCAGCGCAGGGGGGTAAGGCACTGATTTCTCTCTAGGTTCGCTGTAGGCTAGCTCTGCCTGTGCAGAGGATGCTGAAGCAGGTATGAATTGTATGCGCTGAACTGGTGTCAGATCATTTCAACATTTAATGTATTTGAAACAGTATTTTCCTTGTGATGGTGAGAAAAAAAAAGTCAATTTTTTTTTCATCAAAATTAAATTTGCTTGAGGAAGCCGTTTACCCTGGAAAACTTTGCTGCAGTTATAAACAACTCATCTAATAATCAAGAGTATTTGCTGCTGTCTAGTGTGCTGTTCCCAACCGCTGTTGTCGGCTCATGTGATTTTGGCTGAGATGGGGCCAGTGCCACTCGTCAGCTGAATGCTTTGAGAAAGTGTTGGGCCTCTGCTGGAAAAAAATGTAAAGAATTAGAAAATGCAACAAAAAAGAGAAATTACCGCTTTCTATGGATGTATAAATAAACCTGTTCCCTGCCCTATTTCGAGCCCTGGGTTACTCACACCCCTCGTGCCTGCGCACGCACGGACGCAGCACATCACGAGCCCCGTGTTTAGCAGCGTGTCTCGCCTGCCAACCCGCGGCTTTGGTCACAAGCCACGGAACTGGGAAGAAATAAATAAACCTTAGTTTCCAGCTCTTGCCTCTTGACTTTTGTTTGTTGCGAGGGATCCTGGAAAAGGGGCGCGGTGATGTCATGTGCTTACCTCCTTGCTGACGCGATGACTACAGAAATAGCTGGGAGCCCCATCTGGGGTTGTGTCTTTCCTGGTCGTGGCTGGGGGGGTTGTGGGCACTGTCCCCCTGCGCCCCCTTGGCATCCAGCCCCCTGTGCATGGGGCACCATCTGTGAGGAGGGCTTCTATTTAATAGCAGCGATGTACGGAGTTGACACTAGGATGGTGTTGCATGGGAGCACTGAAGCAAGGGGAAGAGGTATAAGATGTGAACCGCTGTCTGAGCTTCTCAGGGTTACTGGTTTGCTCTGCAATCCCATATTCCCAGCGCGGGGCGGGTAAGGCACTGATTTCTCTCTAGGTTCGCTGTAGGCTAGCTCTGCCTGTGCAGAGGATGCTGAAGCTGGTGTGAATTGTATGCGCTTGCACGGCTCGGAGACGGTGGGAAGGAGAACACCCACTTTCCTTCTCCTGGCTGCACAGGGGCTTTACCAGAGCTGGGATCTTGTTCATACCTCTGTGCTATACCGTTTTTGCTATTATACCTCCTCCCTTGGGGAATGGCTGCCTTGTTCTGCAGGTGAAAGACCAGAGTTATTTATAGGCAGCTCTGTGGTGAGAAATGGTATAGAAAAAAAGTTGAAATCATCCCTAGAGAGCTAGAAATGGTAGCTGAGGTGTCTGAGAAAACATCTTTGTTTTTCTTTTGCATGTGCAAGTGTTTGCACATGTGCTCAAATGTGTCAAGGGTTCACTGTGGGAAGGTGTCCCAGGGCATCCCCGCAACAGCGGTGGGGACTCCTGTCCCATGGTCAGGTCGCAGACTGGTTGGAGGCGTTGTGGGCTGCTCTTTGCTCTCCTCATCGGATACATTAGCTGTATTTTCTGTCTCAGTTTCTCTGTCTCTGCAGTAGGGACAGTAATATGTAGTTGGATTGGATTGTGCATGTACATTGGAGTTCAGGCATGTTAAAGCTGCCTTGAAAATGTGCTGGCAGCACAGCTTTCTGCAGCGAAACGGCCAGAGGTGTAAAAGCTTCAAGGAATTGAATGATTTTATCATTAAAAATAGTTGAAATGTCTTTAGAGAAATGCTGCTTCTCCATCATGAATTAAAGTAAAACACTTGGTTTTGCCAAGTGTTGTAAAAAAACACTTGTAGGAAAAAAAGGGGGGAAAAACTCCAAAAGAAAAAGAAAAAAGGCAAAAGAAACCTAAACGTGCTGGCTTTAGTAATTCTTAAGATGAGTCTTTCAGTAACTTCGTTTTATGGGAAATTTTGACTTTTCTGTTGTCGTCACTGAGGAGAAAAGGGACCTCTCCAGAGCTGCAAATTTGCAGAAGGGTAATTCTGTTTCAGCTTGTACTGCCCACTAGCATTAATAAATACTTCGAGGGCTCTGTTCAGCTCTGGCTGAAATCAATCGCTGTTATTTTGGAGCAGTGCATGGTGTCGGTGAGCCCAGGGCTGCAATGGAGAGGCTGTAGGTGGCATTGGGGCTACCAAGAGGGCTCATCACGTTGGTGGGCTCTGTACTCCAGACATGCATCTGGTGAGGCTGAAACCTATAAAGTCATGGTGTCCTGGGCCCTGCCCTTGGTCCGTAGCCTGGCACTGGAGAGCTGGGTAGGAAAAAGTTTGCTGCGTGGTGCAGGCGCAGCTGCGGGGATCCCTGCCCACATGCAAGGTGCTAGAGCAGGGCAGCAGCGTAATGTTGGATGTGGCACAGGGGAACATCGGGGATCTGAGGATGGGAGGAGATGTAGGGTGTTTCTTGGGGGTGGGGTGGAATTGACCCCCCCCTACATCTGTCAACAGATGTAGCAGCACCTACTTTGTTGTTATAATATACAACTGGGGGCCCAGAGCTAATTGCAGCTCTAAATGACTTTTATTATGCTGTGGTTGCTCCTTGCCTGCTGTATTGAAACCAGATGCTCAGGTCATTAAATAGATATAAGCCAGGTGCTGACTGCCTTATTTAAGCAAAATACAAATTGATTTCCTGCAGGAGTGAGTGTGGTCATATATATGCCAGCACCCAAGAGTGGGACGAGAAGGCTGGGGAGAATGGTGGCCATTGTGGCTTGGGAACCCCTGGTGAGGTTTTTAGTATTGCTTTGGGACCTGGCTGATGGATTGACTGGATGCAAAGCTGCTGAGGGTTTGGGGGTAGTTACTGTGCTCCAGAGCTGTTCCCCTGAGCATGTCACCAACGTGTTGCTATAGATTTAGAAAAGTGTCTCTGGATGAGACACCTGCCCTGCTGAAAGGCGCATGGATCTGACGGCGTGGCACAAAGGTGACAAACCCTCAGCAGCGTGTGGTGCTGATTCTGGGAGGATGCTGCAGCCCAATCCCTAGGTCTGTGGGGTGTCTCCGTGCCTCTAGCCCAGTATTTTAACCTCACAAGTGAAGCTTTTTGTTGGAGGATTTCACTCTGAGATGAAAGGTTCTCAGTGACCTTTACCATGAGCATAGCAGCTAGAAATTAGTTGGTCATGAACAGAGCCAAGAGTTGCCCAGCTAACACCAAGGTGTTTCCGAAATAGCGTTTCTCAACAATTTTGTGTCCGCGTTCACCACTTGACTCGTCTGTCATCACTCAGCCGCCTGTGCCAGCAGCAGCTCCAGGCGGGGAAGTGCTCGCTGCCGTTCCCCTCTGCAAGTGCTCGTGTTTGAGCCCTGGAGGAACTGAGCTGCTGCCAGCAATTACAGTTGGTAGTTCCTGGCCCGTGCCAAACACTGCCAGCCCG